TGGGCGAAGCAAAATAGTGAAGGTTGAGGAGCCCAACGCGGCGGCAATGCCTGTGGACGCGAAGCGAACGATGCCCAGTGGGACATAATGACGAAGGCAATGGCTACGATCGAGTGGCGTTTGCAGTCTCGCTCGGATGTGGAGTTTCGACGAGCAAGGACGTGTCTGGAATGTGGGCCGTCGACAGTGGTGCAACGAACCACGTTTGCCACAAAAAGACCAAGTTTGCAAGTTTGGTAGAGCGCAACGAGGGCGAACTATTGGTGGCTGATGGCAACAAGGTGGCCATCAAGGATGTTGGAACCATCATAGAAAATGTGGTTCTGACCAACGGCGAAGAGCGCGAGATCGAGATCAAGAACGCGTTATATGTTCCAAGTCTGAGCAAGAACCTGCTTTCGGTGCCACAGACTAACAGGCATGACATCTCCAAGTCGTGTTTGACGGGTCCAAGATGTATGTGACTCTCAAGAACTCACAGCAAGTGTTGGCGACAGTGGATCTCGTGGATGGACTTTACTGGCTTCGTCTCAGCGGATCTAGTGGATGGACTTTACTGGCTTCGACTCAGCGATCAACAAATGGGACACAAGTGAAAACATTGTGATGGTCTACATGCGCGAATGGGTCACCCCGCTCCAGTCGACGTACTGCGCAAGATGATCACGACCAACATGATCAAGGATGTGCGAGTCCCTCTCAAGTTGGGTGGAGCAAGTGCATGCCGCAGGTGTCAACAAGGTGAAAAAGTCCAAAAACCATTCCCAAGCAACCGCGACAAGCGCAGCTATGATAAGTGTGAGCTGCTTCATCTGGACATCTGTGGGCCCATGGAAAACGATTCGCTCGGTGGTAGCAGATATCTGCTACTGATCGTAGACGAAGCCAGTGGAGTGGATGCACGAAGGGCTTTTGTTTACGAGTGAAGTCCTAGAGTGAAGACTACGTCCGGAAGTACATCACTGTGGTTCAGACGCAGTTCAGTAAGAAGGTCAAGTTTGTGCGACACGACGGAGCTTGCGAGCTCGCAACCAACTCGCTTCAAATGTTCTACAAAGATGAAGGCATTGAACAGCAAACAACGGTGACATATGCGCATCAAACCAACGGAACAGCAGAGCGTGCCATTAGGACTATCCTTACGATCGGCCGCAGCATGCTTCATCATGCCAAACTAGACAATTGTTTCTGGGCTGAAGCAGCGATGACGGCCATCTACGTCAAGAATCGACTGCCGTCACCTAAAGTCGTACTCAAGAATACGTTTGAGATCGTCTACAACTCGACGCCAAGCGTCAAGCACATGCAAGCATTCGGGCGCCAGACGTACATACTGACGCCAAAGGAGAATCGGCTTAAGTGGGATCCAAAGGCTCGCACTGGCATATTCGTGGGCTACGAAGAAGTGTCGAAGGCGTATCGAGTTTATGACATTGAGGCGGGACAGGTGGTTATCAGTCGCGATGTCAACTTCGACGAGTCCACCTTTGGACTTCCGCCGCCGATCACTGATGAAGATGCCGATGACCTGGACTTCGAGTTGCTTGACCTCAATGATGAAGAGCCGCGTCAGGTGGAGTACAAGCAAACAGGCAAGCGCAAAAACCGCCTCAGTGATGAAGATACAGCAGCTCCACGGCCACGTGCAGTGCGTCAACGACCTGGACTAGAAGAGTCAACCGCGCTAGAAAACAACTCGTCACGCCAAGAAGAAGACGAAGAAAGGAAGGATTCTGATGAATCAACTCCGCCTGTGTTTTGGCATGCGAGTGCGAATGTCGTTGAAACAGCAGCAGACTTATCAGAGCCCTACACACTTGAGGCTGCAGTGAGCGGCCCTGACCAAGTGCACTGGCAAATGCCATTTATGCGGAACTCGAGTCGATGCGCCTTCGCGGTGTGTTTCGTGCAGCCAAGCTGCCCAACGGACAACGCGCCATTGACACAAAGTGAGTGTTTAAGATCAAGCGCAAGGCGGATGGGTAGATCGAGAAGTGCTAGGTACGGCTTGTGGCCAAGGGTTTCCGCCAAAAATATGGCATCGACTACACGGAGACATTTTCATCCGTGGTCAAGTATGTGACGCTGCGAATGGAGATCGCAATTTCCAATAACTTTGGATGGCCCATCGACCAGCTTGATGTGATGACGGCTTTCCTGTATGGCGTCATGAAGGAACAAGTGTTCTGCGCGATTCCTGAAGGCTTTGAACTTGATAGTACGTTCGATTGCCTGGAATTGATTAAGTCAATTGTGGCCCCAAGCAAGCGTCGCGAGTGTGGAACGAGACGTTCGACGAGTTTGTGTGCTCCATTGGAATTCAAGTATCGGACTTCGACCCATGTCTCGAGATCAAGACTTCGGTCGGCCATTGTGTATTTGTACTGGTCTACGTGGACGACGTCTTGGTGACTGGAAGCTCGCTCGAGCTAATTACACGAACCAAGAACGACCTGAAGACACGTTTCGAGATGACAGACAGCGGCAAATGTGCATTTGTTCTTGGGATCGAGCTTTTGGACGGTGAAGATGGCAGTGTGAATATGTGTCAGCGCCGTTATGTATGAGGATGATATCCTCAAGCGCTTTGGAATGGAGGAGTGCAAGGCTGTGGCGAGTCCTGTGGATGTCAGCTCTCGACTGATGTCAAGCAACGCTACGAGCAAGATCGATGTTCCATTCCTCGAAGCTGTTCGTGCTTTGATGCATCTGACGACTGCAACACGACCGGACATCGCCTATGCTGTGAGCTTTGTGTCGCGCTTCATGAAGAATCTCCAAGAAGAACACTGGGTTGCGGTCAAGCGCATCTTTCGCTACCTACAAGGCACTAAGATGCATGGAATTTGCTGCAAGCCACGTGCAAGGATCGACTTTCGTGGTTCTTCGGACGCAGACTGGGCCGGCGACCTTACTGATCGCTAGTCAACGTCTAGCTACGTTTTTATGCTATTGGGTGCTCCAGTGAGTTGGGGCAGCAAGAAGCATCCAAGTGTGTCACTGTCTACAAGTGAAGCGGAGTACATTGCGCTAAGTCTGGCGGTTCAAGAAGGTAAGTGGATCCACCGCTTACTATGCGAGATCATGGCAGCTGCTAACGAGGACGGACCCGAGCTCATGATCCGCGAAGACAACCAGTCCTGCATCAAAACGACCAAGAATCCGGTCAACCACGGCCGCGCCAAACACATTGATATCAAGTACCATCACATTCGCGATGAAGTCAAGCGCGGTGAAGTGAAGCTTGAATACTGCGAGACGACGGTGAGGTTGGCAGACAGTATGACCAAGGGACTCACTGACCACGCCACAAGGACTTAAAACCGCCGCTAGGCATCTGTTCGCATTCGGATTGAGAGGGCGTGTTGACGGTCATCGGTTTTCTACCAGTCATGCTAATCGTGACCAGTTCAATCCGAACCGCCTGCTCATCTTAGTGTTCACGATGTAGTTCTTATGTTAAATACCATAGTTGATTAGACGCGTAGGATGATGAGACGATTCACATGATTTATGTGCAGCACATCTAAATCATGTAGCAAGCCCCGATAATCAATCGCTTTCGAATCTTCCAACTAGTGAGGAAGTGGCTTCTGCTCTACTCTCTTCAGCCTCTCTGCTCCCTTCGCTCCGCTCTCTTCCATGCAACAGATTATGAGCCCAAGCGCCATGTCGTCCACCACCAACGCATCATCCAACGTCTCCATTGATAAGCTCAATGGAGACAATCATGCGACTTGGAGTCGATACATGCGCGGTGTTTTTTGACGAAGTCCGTATGGTGCGTCGTAAACCGTGAAGCGACTCCGACTTTCACCGACCCGTGAGCGTCCGATGACTACATTAAGACGAGCAACGTCGCGTTTGGTATGGTGCTGCTACTACACATAAATGCGGACTACCACCACGTGCTTGACAGCTACGAGGAAGCGTGGGCTGCGTGGACACGTCTGAAGACGCTGTACGGTGGATCGCAGAAGGCAGGACGCACCTTTCTCAAGCGACAACTTTTCAGCACCAAGATGGATGAAGGCGCGAACGTCATGCACCACTGCAACGAGGTCCTCAACGTCTCCGCTAAGCTTAGCGGCATCGGTGCGAAGATGGAAGAAGAAGACGTTGCAATCTGTCTGCTGCTTAGTCTTCCAAAGAGCTACGAAAATGTGGTGCTCAACATGGAAATGAGCAGCGCCGAGCTTCGTAACCAAGATGTGGTGAGAGTGCTGACGAATGAGCACGCCAAGAGTCAAGGAGAAAAAAGGACAGCAACAGCGACTACGGTGTAGGCTGAAGATGCAAGCAAGGCATTCAGCGCCGAGCGTTAGCGCTACCAATGCACGTATTGTGACAAGGTGGGACACACAGCAGAGTATTGTTGGGCGAAGCAAAATAGTGAAGGTTGAGGAGCCCAACGCGGCGGCAATGCCTGTGGACGCGAAGCGAACGATGCCCAGTGGAACATAATGACGAAGGCAATGGCTACGATCGAGTGGCGTTTGCAGTCTCGCTCGGATGTGGAGTTTCGACGAGCAAGGACGTGTCTGGAATGTGGGCCGTCGACAGTCGTGCAACGAACCACGTTTGCCACACAAAAGACCAAGTTTGCAAGTTTGGTAGAGCGCAACGAGGGCGAACTATTGGTGGCTGATGGCAACAAGGTGGCCATCAAGGATGTTGGAACCATCATAGAAAATGTGGTTCTGACCAACGGCGAAGAGCGCGAGATCGAGATCAAGAACGCGTTACATGTTCCCAGTCTGAGCAAGAACCTGCTTTCGGTGCCACAGACTAACAGGCATGACATCTCCAAGTCGTGTTTGACGGGTCCAAGATGTATGTGACTCTCAAGAACTCACAGCAAGTGTTGGCGACAGTGGATCTCGTGGATGGACTTTACTGGCTTCGTCTCAGCGGATCTAGTGGATGGACTTTACTGGCTTCGACTCAGCGATCGACAAATGGGACACAAGTGAAAACATTGTGATGGTCTACATGCGCGAATGGGTCACCCCGCTCCAGTCGACGTACTGCGCAAGATGATCACGACCAACATGATCAAGGATGTGCGAGTCCCTCTCAAGTTGGGTGGAGCAAGTGCATGCCGCGGGTGTCAACAAGGTGAAAAAGTCCAAAAACCATTCCCAAGCAACCGCGACAAGCGCAGCTATGATAAGTGTGAGCTGCTTCATCTGGACATCTGTGGGTCCATGGAAAACGATTCGCTCGGTGGTAGCAGATATCTGCTACTGATCGTAGACGAAGCCAGTGGAGTGGATGCACGAAGGGCTTTTGTTTACGAGTGAAGTCCTAGAGTGAAGACTACGTCCGGAAGTACATCACTGTGGTTCAGACGCAGTTCAGTAAGAAGGTCAAGTTTGTGCGACACGACGGAGCTTGCGAGCTCGCAACCAACTCGCTTCAAATGTTCTACAAAGATGAAGGCATTGAACAGCAAACAACGGTGACATATGCGCATCAAACCAACGGAACAGCAGAGCGTGCCATTTGGACTATCCTTACGATCGGCCGCAGCATGCTTCATCATGCCAAACTAGACAATTGTTTCTGGGCTGAAGCAGCGATGACGGCCATCTACGTCAAGAATCGACTGCCGTCACCTAAAGTCGTACTCAAGAATACGTTTGAGATCGTCTACAACTCGACGCCAAGCGTCAAGCACATGCAAGCATTCGGGCGCCAGACGTACATACTGACGCCAAAGGAGAATCGGCTTAAGTGGGATCCAAAGGCTCGCACTGGCATATTCGTGGGCTACGAAGAAGTGTCGAAGGCGTATCGAGTTTATGACATTGAGGCGGGACAGGTGGTTATCAGTCGCGATGTCAACTTCGACGAGTCCACCTTTGGACTTCCGCCGCCGATCACTGATGAAGATGCCGATGACCTGGACTTCGAGTTGCTTGACCTCAATGATGAAGAGCCGCGTCAGGTGGAGTACAAGCAAACAGGCAAGCGCAAAAACCGCCTCAGTGATGAAGATACAGCAGCTCCACGGCCACGTGCAGTGCGTCAACGACCTGGACTAGAAGAGTCAACCGCGCTAGAAAACAACTCGTCACGCCAAGAAGAAGACGAAGAAAGGAAGGATTCTGATGAATCAACTCCGCCTGTGTTTTGGCATGCGAGTGCGAATGTCGTTGAAACAGCAGCAGACTTATCAGAGCCCTACACACTTGAGGCTGCAGTGAGCGGCCCTGACCAAGTGCACTGGCAAATGCCATTTATGCGGAACTCGAGTCGATGCGCCTTCGCGGTGTGTTTCGTGCAGCCAAGCTGCCCAACGGACAACGCGCCATTGACACAAAGTGAGTGTTTAAGATCAAGCGCAAGGCGGATGGGTAGATCGAGAAGTGCTAGGTACGGCTTGTGGCCAAGGGTTTCCGCCAAAAATATGGCATCGACTACACGGAGACATTTTCATCCGTGGTCAAGTATGTGACGCTGCGAATGGAGATCGCAATTTCCAATAACTTTGGATGGCCCATCGACCAGCTTGATGTGATGACGGCTTTCCTGTATGGCGTCATGAAGGAACAAGTGTTCTGCGCGATTCCTGAAGGCTTTGAACTTGATAGTACGTTCGATTGCCTGGAATTGATTAAGTCAATTGTGGCCCCAAGCAAGCGTCGCGAGTGTGGAACGAGACGTTCGACGAGTTTGTGTGCTCCATTGGAATTCAAGTATCGGACTTCGACCCATGTCTCGAGATCAAGACTTCGGTCGGCCATTGTGTATTTGTACTGGTCTACGTGGACGACGTCTTGGTGACTGGAAGCTCGCTCGAGCTAATTACACGAACCAAGAACGACCTGAAGACACGTTTCGAGATGACAGACAGCGGCAAATGTGCATTTGTTCTTGGGATCGAGCTTTTGGACGGTGAAGATGGCAGTGTGAATATGTGTCAGCGCCGTTATGTCTGAGGATGATATCCTCAAGCGCTTTGGCGTGGAGGAGTGCAAGGCTGTGGCGAGTCCTGTGGATGTCAGCTCTCGACTGATGTCAAGCAACGCTACGAGCAAGATCGATGTTCCATTCTTCGAAGCTGTTCGTGCTTTGATGCATCTGACTACTGCAACACGACCGGACATCGCCTATGCTGTGAGCTTTGTGTCGCGCTTCATGAAGAATCTCCAAGAAGAACACTGGGTTGCGGTCAAGCGCATCTTTCGCTACCTACAAGGCACTAAGATGCATGGAATTTGCTGCAAGCCACGTGCAAGGATCGACTTTCGTGGTTCTTCGGACGCAGACTGGGCCGGCGACCTTACTGATCGCTAGTCAACGTCTAGCTACGTTTTTATGCTATTGGGTGCTCCAGTGAGTTGGGGCAGCAAGAAGCATCCAAGTGTGTCACTGTCTACAAGTGAAGCGGAGTACATTGCGCTAAGTCTGGCGGTTCAAGAAGGTAAGTGGATCCACCGCTTACTATGCGAGATCATGGCAGCTGCTAACGAGGACGGACCCGAGCTCATGATCCGCGAAGACAACCAGTCCTGCATCAAAACGACCAAGAATCCGGTCAACCACGGCCGCGCCAAACACATTGATATCAAGTACCATCACATTCGCGATGAAGTCAAGCGCGGTGAAGTGAAGCTTGAATACTGCGAGACGACGGTGAGGTTGGCAGACAGTATGACCAAGGGACTCACTGACCACGCCACAAGGACTTAAAACCGCCGCTAGGCATCTGTTCGCATTCGGATTGAGAGGGCGTGTTGACGGTCATCGGTTTTCTACCAGTCATGCTAATCGTGACCAGTTCAATCCGAACCGCCTGCTCATCTTAGTGTTTACGACGTAGTTCTTATGTTAAATACCATAGTTGATTAGACGCGTAGGATGATGAGACGATTCACATGATTTATATGTGCACCACATCTAAATCATGTAGTAAGCCCCGATAATCAATCGCTTTCGAATCTTCCAACTAGTGAGGAAGTGGCTTCTGCTCTACTCTCTTCAGCCTCTCTGCTCCCTTCGCTCCGCTCTCTTCCATGCAACAGATTATGAGCCCAAGCGCCATGTCGTCCACCACCAACGCATCATCCAACGTCTCCATTGATAAGCTCAATGGAGACAATCATGCGACTTGGAGTCGATACATGCGCGGTGTTTTTTGACGAAGTCCGTATGGTGCGTCGTAAACCGTGAAGCGACTCCGACTTTCACCGACCCGTGAGCGTCCGATGACTACATTAAGACGAGCAACGTCGCGTTTGGTATGGTGCTGCTACTACACATAAATGCGGACTACCACCACGTGCTTGACAGCTACGAGGAAGCGTGGGCTGCGTGGACACGTCTGAAGACGCTGTACGGTGGATCGCAGAAGGCAGGACGCACCTTTCTCAAGCGACAACTTTTCAGCACCAAGATGGATGAAGGCGCGAACGTCATGCACCACTGCAACGAGGTCCTCAACGTCTCCGCTAAGCTTAGCGGCATCGGTGCGAAGATGGAAGAAGAAGACGTTGCAATCTGTCTGCTGCTTAGTCTTCCAAAGAGCTACGAAAATGTGGTGCTCAACATGGAAATGAGCAGCGCCGAGCTTCGTAACCAAGATGTGGTGAGAGTGCTGACGAATGAGCACGCCAAGAGTCAAGGAGAAAAAAGGACAGCAACAGCGACTACGGTGTAGGCTGAAGATGCAAGCAAGGCATTCAGCGCCGAGCGTTAGCGCTACCAATGCACGTATTGTGACAAGGTGGGACACACAGCAGAGTATTGTTGGGCGAAGCAAAATTGTGAAGGTTGAGGAGCCCAACGCGGCGGCAATGCCTGTGGACGCGAAGCGAACGATGCCCAGTGGAACATAATGACGAAGGCAATGGCTACGATCGAGTGGCGTTTGCAGTCTCGCTCGGATGTGGAGTTTCGACGAGCAAGGACGTGTCTGGAATGTGAGCCGTCGACAGTGGTGCAACGCACCACGTTTGTCACAAAAAGACCAAGTTTGCAAGTTTGGCAGAGCGCAACGAGGGCGAACTATTGGTGGCTGATGGCAACAAGGTGGCCATCAAGGGTGTTGGAACCATCATAGAAAATGTGGTTCTGACCAACGGCGAAGAGCGCGAGATCGAGATCAAGAACGCGTTATATGTTCCAAGTATGAGCAAGAACCTGCTTTCGGTGCCACAGACTAACAGGCATGACATCTCCAAGTCGTGTTTGACGGGTCCAAGATGTATGTGACTCTCAAGAACTCACAGCAAGTGTTGGCGACAGTGGATCTCGTGGATGGACTTTACTGGCTTCGTCTCAGCGGATCTAGTGGATGGACTTTACTGGCTTCGACTCAGCGATCGACAAATGGGACACAAGTGAAAACATTGTGATGGTCTACATGCGCGAATGGGTCACCCCGCTCCAGTCGACGTACTGCGCAAGATGATCACGACCAACATGATCAAGGATGTGCGAGTCCCTCTCAAGTTGGGTGGAGCAAGTGCATGCCGCAGGTGTCAACAAGGTGAAAAAGTCCAAAAACCATTCCCAAGCAACCGCGACAAGCGCAGCTATGATAAGTGTGAGCTGCTTCATCTGGACATCTGTGGGTCCATGGAAAACGATTCGCTCGGTGGTAGCAGATATCTGCTACTGATCGTAGACGAAGCCAGTGGAGTGGATGCACGAAGGGCTTTTGTTTACGAGTGAAGTCCTAGAGTGAAGACTACGTCCGGAAGTACATCACTGTGGTTCAGACGCAGTTCAGTAAGAAGGTCAAGTTTGTGCGACACGACGGAGCTTGCGAGCTCGCAACCAACTCGCTTCAAATGTTCTACAAAGATGAAGGCATTGAACAGCAAACAACGGTGACATATGCGCATCAAACCAACGGAACAGCAGAGCGTGCCATTTGGACTATCCTTACGATCGGCCGCAGCATGCTTCATCATGCCAAACTAGACAATTGTTTCTGGGCTGAAGCAGCGATGACGGCCATCTACGTCAAGAATCGACTGCCGTCACCTAAAGTCGTACTCAAGAATACGTTTGAGATCGTCTACAACTCGACGCCAAGCGTCAAGCACATGCAAGCATTCGGGCGCCAGACGTACATACTGACGCCAAAGGAGAATCGGCTTAAGTGGGATCCAAAGGCTCGCACTGGCATATTCGTGGGCTACGAAGAAGTGTCGAAGGCGTATCGAGTTTATGACATTGAGGCGGGACAGGTGGTTATCAGTCGCGATGTCAACTTCGACGAGTCCACCTTTGGACTTCCGCCGCCGATCACTGATGAAGATGCCGATGACCTGGACTTCGAGTTGCTTGACCTCAATGATGAAGAGCCGCGTCAGGTGGAGTACAAGCAAACAGGCAAGCGCAAAAACCGCCTCAGTGATGAAGATACAGCAGCTCCACGGCCACGTGCAGTGCGTCAACGACCTGGACTAGAAGAGTCAACCGCGCTAGAAAACAACTCGTCACGCCAAGAAGAAGACGAAGAAAGGAAGGATTCTGATGAATCAACTCCGCCTGTGTTTTGGCATGCGAGTGCGAATGTCGTTGAAACAGCAGCAGACTTATCAGAGCCCTACACACTTGAGGCTGCAGTGAGCGGCCCTGACCAAGTGCACTGGCAAATGCCATTTATGCGGAACTCGAGTCGATGCGCCTTCGCGGTGTGTTTCGTGCAGCCAAGCTGCCCAACGGACAACGCGCCATTGGCACAAAGTTAGTGTTTAAGATCAAGCGCAAGGCGGATGGGTAGATCGAGAAGTGCTAGGTACGGCTTGTGGCCAAGGGTTTCCGCCAAAAATATGGCATCGACTACACGGAGACATTTTCATCCGTGGTCAAGTATGTGACGCTGCGAATGGAGATCGCAATTTCCAATAACTTTGGATGGCCCATCGACCAGCTTGATGTGATGACGGCTTTCCTGTATGGCGTCATGAAGGAACAAGTGTTCTGCGTGATTCCTGGAGGCGTTGAACTTGATAGTACGTTCGATTGCCTGGAATTGATTAAGTCAATTGTGGCCCCAAGCAAGCGTCGCGAGTGTGGAACGAGACGTTCGACGAGTTTGTGTGCTCCATTGGAATTCAAGTATCGGACTTCGACCCATGTCTCGAGATCAAGACTTCGGTCGGCCATTGTGTATTTGTACTGGTCTACGTGGACGACGTCTTGGTGACTGGAAGCTCGCTCGAGCTAATTACACGAACCAAGAACGACCTGAAGACACGTTTCGAGATGACAGACAGCGGCAAATGTGCATTTGTTCTTGGGATCGAGCTTTTGGACGGTGAAGATGGCAGTGTGAATATGTGTCAGCGCCGTTATGTATGAAGATGATATCCTCAAGCGCTTTGGAATGGAGGAGTGCAAGGCTGTGGCGAGTCCTGTGGATGTCAGCTCTCGACTGATGTCAAGCAACGCTACGAGCAAGATCGATGTTTCCTTCCTCGAAGCTGTTCGTGCTTTGATGCATCTGACTACTGCAACACGACCGGACATCGCCTATGCTGTGAGCTTTGTGTCGCGCTTCATGAAGAATCTCCAAGAAGAACACTGGGTTGCGGTCAAGCGCATCTTTCGCTACCTACAAGGCACTAAGATGCATGGAATTTGCTGCAAGCCACGTGCAAGGATCGACTTTCGTGGTTCTTCGGACGCAGACTGGGCCGGCGACCTTACTGATCGCTAGTCAACGTCTAGCTACGTTTTTATGCTATTGGGTGCTCCAGTGAGTTGGGGCAGCAAGAAGCATCCAAGTGTGTCACTGTCTACAAGTGAAGCGGAGTACATTGCGCTAAGTCTGGCGGTTCAAGAAGGTAAGTGGATCCACCGCTTACTATGCGAGATCATGGCAGCTGCTAACGAGGACGGACCCGAGCTCATGATCCGCGAAGACAACCAGTCCTGCATCAAAACGACCAAGAATCCGGTCAACCACGGCCGCGCCAAACACATTGATATCAAGTACCATCACATTCGCGATGAAGTCAAGCGCGGTGAAGTGAAGCTTGAATACTGCGAGACGACGGTGAGGTTGGCAGACAGTATGACCAAGGGGCTCCACGGACCGCGCCACAAGGACTTAAAACCGCCGCTAGGCATCTGTTCGCATTCGGATTGAGAGGGCGTGTTGACGGTCATCGGTTTTCTACCAGTCATGCTAATCTTGACCAGTTCAATCCGAACCGCCTGCTCATCTTAGTGTTTACGACGTAGTTCTTATGTTAAATACCATAGTTGATTAGACGCGTAGGATGATGAGACGCTTCACATGATCTAGATGTGCAGCACATCTAAATCATGTAGCAAGCCCCGATAATCAATCGCTTTCGAATCTTCCAACTAGTGAGGAAGTGGCTTCTGCTCTACTCTCTTCAGCCTCTCTGCTCCCTTCGCTCCGCTCTCTTCCATGCAACAGATTATGAGCCCAAGCGCCATGTCGTCCACCACCAACGCATCATCCAACGTCTCCATTGATAAGCTCAATGGAGACAATCATGCGACTTGGAGTCGATACATGCGCGGTGTTTTTTGACGAAGTCCGTATGGTGCGTCGTAAACCGTGAAGCGACTCCGACTTTCACCGACCCGTGAGCGTCCGATGACTACATTAAGACGAGCAACGTCGCGTTTGGTATGATGCTGCTACTACACATAAATGCGGACTACCACCACGTGCTTGACAGCTACGAGGAAGCGTGGGCTGCGTGGACACGTCTGAAGATGCTGTACGGTGGATCGCAGAAGGCAGGACGCATCTTCCTCAAGCGACAACTTTTCAGCACCAAGATGGATGAAGGCGCGAACGTCATGCACCACTGCAACGAGGTCCTCAACGTCTCCGCTAAGCTTAGCGGCATCGGTGCGAAGATGGAAGAAGAAGACGTTGCAATCTGTCTGCTGCTTAGTCTTCCAAAGAGCTACGAAAATGTGGTGCTCAACATGGAAATGAGCAGCGCCGAGCTTCGTAACCAAGATGTGGTGAGAGTGCTGACGAATGAGCACGCCAAGAGTCAAGGAGAAAAAAGGACAGCAACAGCGACTACGGTGTAGGCTGAAGATGCAAGCAAGGCATTCAGCGCCGAGCGTTAGCGCTACCAATGCACGTATTGTGACAAGGTGGGACACACAGCAGAGTATTGTTGGGCGAAGCAAAATTGTGAAGGTTGAGGAGCCCAACGCGGCGGCAATGCCTGTGGACGCGAAGCGAACTATGCCCAGTGGAACATAATGACGAAGGCAATGGCTACGATCGAGTGGCGTTTGCAGTCTCGCTCGGATGTGGAGTTTCGACGAGCAAGGACGTGTCTGGAATGTGGGCCGTCGACAGTGGTGCAACGCACCACGTTTGCCACAAAAAGACCAAGTTTGCAAGTTTGGTAGAGCGCAACGAGGGCGAACTATTGGTGGCTGATGGCAACAAGGTGGCCATCAAGGATGTTGGAACCATCATAGAAAATGTGGTTCTGACCAACGGCGAAGAGCGCGAGATCGAGATCAAGAACGCGTTACATGTTCCCAGTCTGAGCAAGAACCTGCTTTCGGTGCCACAGACTAACAGGCATGACATCTCCAAGTCGTGTTTGACGGGTCCAAGATGTATGTGACTCTCAAGAACTCACAGCAAGTGTTGGCGACAGTGGATCTCGTGGATGGACTTTACTGGCTTCGTCTCAGCGGATCTAGTGGATGGACTTTACTGGCTTCGACTCAGCGATCGACAAATGGGACACAAGTGAAAACATTGTGATGGTCTACATGCGCGAATGGGTCACCCCCGCTCCAGTCGACGTACTGCGCAAGATGATCACGACCAACATGATCAAGGATGTGCGAGTCCCTCTCAAGTTGGGTGGAGCAAGTGCATGCCGCGGGTGTCAACAAGGTGAAAAAGTCCAAAAACCATTCCCAAGCAACCGCGACAAGCGCAGCTATGATAAGTGTGAGCTGCTTCATCTGGACATCTGTGGGTCCATGGAAAATGATTCGCTCGGTGGTAGCAGATATCTGCTACTGATCGTAGACGAAGCCAGTGGAGTGGATGCACGAAGGGCTTTTGTTTACGAGTGAAGTCCTAGAGTGAAGACTACGTCCGGAAGTACATCACTGTGGTTCAGACGCAGTTCAGTAAGAAGGTCAAGTTTGTGCGACACGACGGAGCTTGCGAGCTCGCAACCAACTCGCTTCAAATGTTCTACAAAGATGAAGGCATTGAACAGCAAACAACGGTGACATATGCGCATCAAACCAACGGAACAGCAGAGCGTGCCATTTGGACTATCCTTACGATCGGCCGCAGCATGCTTCATCATGCCAAACTAGACAATTGTTTCTGGGCTGAAGCAGCGATGACGGCCATCTACGTCAAGAATCGACTGCCGTCACCTAAAGTCGTACTCAAGAATACGTTTGAGATCGTCTACAACTCGACGCCAAGCGTCAAGCACATGCAAGCATTCGGGCGCCAGACGTACATACTGACGCCAAAGGAGAATCGGCTTAAGTGGGATCCAAAGGCTCGCACTGGCATATTCGTGGGCTACGAAGAAGTGTCGAAGGCGTATCGAGTTTATGACATCGAGGCGGGACAGGTGGTTATCAGTCGCGATGTCAACTTCGACGAGTCCACCTTTGGACTTCCGCCGCCGATCACTGATGAAGATGCCGATGACCTGGACTTCGAATTGCTTGACCTCAATGATGAAGAGCCGCGTCAGGTGGAGTACAAGCAAACAGGCAAGCGCAAAAACCGCCTCAGTGATGAAGATACAGCAGCTCCACGTCCACGTGCAGTGCGTCAACGACCTGGACTAGAAGAGTCAACCGCGCTAGAAAACAACTCGTCACGCCAAGAAGAAGACGAAGAAAGGAAGGATTCTGATGAATCAACTCCGCCTGTGTTTTGGCATGCGAGTGCGAATGTCGTTGAAACAGCAGCAGACTTATCAGAGCCCTACACATTTGAGGCGGCAGTGAGCGGCCCTGACCAAGTGCACTGGCAAATGCCATTTATGCGGAACTCGAGTCGGTGCGCCTTCGCGGTGTGTTTCGTGCAGCCAAGCTGCCCAACGGACAACGCGCCATTGGCACAAAGTGAGTGTTTAAGATCAAGCGCAAGGCGGATGGGTCAATCGAGAAGTACAAGGCACGACTTGTGGCCAAGGGTTTCCGCCAAAAATATGGCATCGACTACACGGAGACATTTTCATCCGTGGTCAAGTATGTGACGCTGCGAATGGAGATTGCAATTTCCAATAACTTTGGATGGCCCATCGACCAGCTTGATGTGATGACGGCTTTCCTGTATGGCGTCATGAAGGAACAAGTGTTCTGCGTGATTCCTGGAGGCGTTGAGCTTGTTAGTACGTTCGATTGCCTGGAATTGGTGAGGTCAATTGTGGCCTCAAGCAAGCGTCGCGAGTGTGGAACGAGACGTTCGACGAGTTTGTGTGCTCCATTGGAATTCAAGTATCGGACTTCGACCCATGTCTCGAGATCAAGACTTCGGTCGGCCATTGTGTATTTGTACTGGTCTACGTGGACGACGTCTTGGTGACTGGAAGCTCGCTCGAGCTAATTACACGAACCAAGAACGACCTGAAGACACGTTTCGAGATGACAGACAGCGGCAAATGTGCATTTGTTCTTGGGATCGAGCTTTTGGACGGTGAAGATGGCAGTGTGAATATGTGTCAGCGCCGTTATGTCTGAGGATGATATCCTCAAGCGCTTTGGAATGGAGGAGTGCAAGGCTGTGGCGAGTCCTGTGGATGTCAGCTCTCGACTGATGTCAAGCAACACTGCGAGCAAGATCGATGTTCCATTCCTCGAAGCTGTTCGTGCTTTGATGCATCTGACGACTGCAACACGACCGGACATCGCCTATGCTGTGAGCTTTGTGTCGCGCTTCATGAAGAATCTCCAAGAAGAACACTGGGTTGCGGTCAAGCGCATCTTTCGCTACCTACAAGGCACTAAGATGCATGGAATTTGCTGCAAGCCACGTGCAAGGATCGACTTTCGTGGTTCTTCGGACGCAGACTGGGCCGGCGACCTTACTGATCGCTAGTCAACGTCTAGCTACGTTTTTATGCTATTGGGTGCTCCAGTGAGTTGGGGCAGCAAGAAGCATCCAAGTGTGTCACTGTCTACAAGTGAAGCGGAGTACATTGCGCTAAGTCTGGCGGTTCAAGAAGGCAAGTGGACTCACCGCTTACTATGCGAGATCATGGCGGCTGCTAACGAGGACGGACCCGAGCTCATGATCCGCGAAGACAACCAGTCCTGCATCAAAACGACCAAGAATCCGGTCAACCACGGCCGCGCCAAACACATTAATATCAAGTACCATCACATTCGCGATGAAGTCAAGCGCGGTGAAGTGAAGCTTGAATACTGCGAGACGACGGTGATGTTGGCAGACAGTATGACCAAGGGACTCACTGACCACGCCACAAGGACTTAAAGCCGCCGCTAGGCATCTGTTCGCATTCGGATTGAGAGGGCGTGTTGACGGTCATCGGTTTTCTACCAGTCATGCTAATCGTGACCAGTTCAATCCGAACCGCCTGCTCATCTTAGTGTTCACGACGTAGTTCTTATGTTAAATACCATAGTTGATTAGACGCGTAGGATGATGAGACGATTCACATGATTTATGTGTTCACCACATCTAAATCATGTAGTAAGCCCCGATAATCAATCGCTTTCGAATCTTCCAACTAGTGAGGAAGTGGCTTCTGCTCTACTCTCTTCAGCCTCTCTGCTCCCTTCGCTCCGCTCTCTTCCATGCAACAGATTATGAGCCCAAGCGCCATGTCGTCCACCACCAACGCATCATCCAACGTCTCCATTGATAAGCTCAATGGAGACAATCATGCGACTTGGAGTCGATACATGCGCGGTGTTTTTTGACGAAGTCCGTATGGTGCGTCGTAAACCGTGAAGCGACTCCGACTTTCACCGACCCGTGAGCGTCCGATGACTACATTAAGACGAGCAACGTCGCGTTTGGTATGGTGCTGCTACTACACATAAATGCGGACTACCACCACGTGCTTGACAGCTACGAGGAAGCGTGGGCTGCGTGGACACGTCTGAAGACGCTGTACGGTGGATCGCAGAAGGCAGGACGCACCTTTCTCAAGCGACAACTTTTCAGCACCAAGATGGATGAAGGCGCGAACGTCATGCACCACTGCAACGAGGTCCTCAACGTCTCCGCTAAGCTTAGCGGCATCGGTGCGAAGATGGAAGAAGAAGACGTTGCAATCTGTCTGCTGCTTAGTCTTCCAAAGAGCTACGAAAATGTGGTGCTCAACATGGAAATGAGCAGCGCCGAGCTTCGTAACCAAGATGTGGTGAGAGTGCTGACGAATGAGCACGCCAAGAGTCAAGGAGAAAAAAAGGACAGCAACAGCGACTACGGCGAAGGCTGAAGATGCAAGCAAGGCATTCAGCGCCGAGCGTTAGCCCTACCAATGCACGTATTGTGACAAGGTGGGACACACAGCAGAGTATTGTTGGGTGAAGCAAAATTGTGAAGGTTGAGGAGCCCAACGCGGCGGCAATGCCTGTGGACGCGAAGCGAACGATGCCCAGTGGGACATAATGACGAAGGCAATGGCTACGATCGAGTGGCGTTTGCAGTCTCGCTCGGATGTGAAGTTTCGACGAGCAAGGACGTGTCTGGAATGTGGGCCGTCGACAGTGGTGCAACGCACCACGTTTGCCACAAAAAGACCAAGTTTGCAAGTTTGGCAGAGCGCAACGAGGGCGAACTATTGGTGGCTGATGGCAACAAGGTGGCCATCAAGGGTGTTGGAACCATCATGGAAAATGTGGTTCTGACCAACGGCGAAGAGCGCGAGATCGAGATCAAGAACGCGTTACATGTTCCAAGTATGAGCAAGAACCTGCTTTCGGTGCCACAGACTAACAGGCATGACATCTCCAAGTCGTGTTTGACGGGTCCAAGATGTATGTGACTCTCAAGAACTCACAGCAAGTGTTGGCGACAGCGGATCTCGTGGATGGACTTTACTGGCTTCGTCTCAGCGGATCTAGTGGATGGACTTTACTGGCTTCGACTTAGCAATCAACAAACGTGACACAAGTGAAAACATTGTGATGGTCTACATGCGCGAATGGGTCACCCCGCTCCAGTCGACGTACTTCGCAAGATGATCACGACCAACATGATCAAGGATGTGCGAGTCCCTCTCAAGTTGGGTGGAGCAAGTGCATGCCGCGGGTGTCAACAAGGTGAAAAAGTCCAAAAACCATTCCCAAGCAACCGCGACAAGCGCAGCTATGATAAGTGTGAGCTGCTTCATCTGGACATCTGTGGGTCCATGGAAAACGATTCGCTCGGTGGTAGCAGATATCTGCTACTGATCGTAGACGAAGCCAGTGGAGTGGATGCACGAAGGGCTTTTTTTTACGAGTGAAGTCCTAGAGTGAAGACTACGTCCGGAAGTACATCACTGTGGTTCAGACGCAGTTCAGTAAGAAGGTCAAGTTTGTGCGACACGACGGAGCTTGCGAGCTCGCAACCAACTCGCTTCAAATGTTCTACAAAGACGAAGGCATTAAACAGCAAACAACGGTGACATATCCGCGATGTCCGGTCGCGTTGCAGTCGTCAGATGCATCAAAGCACCCACTGCTTCACGGAATGGGACATCCACCTTGCTTGCAGAGTTGCTCGGAACCAGTCGAGAGCTGACGTCCACCGGACTTGCCACAGCCTTGCACTCATCCATTCCAAAGCGCTTGAGGACATCGTCGACATAACGGCGCTGACACATAGTCACGCTTTCACCTCCATGTCCAATAACTCGATCCCAAGAACAAAGGCACACTTGCCGCTGTCCGTCATCTCGAAGCGTGTCTTGAGGTCGTTCTTGGTGCGCGCAATCATCTCGAGCGAGCTTCCAGTCACCAAGACATCGTCCACGTAGACCAGCACAAAAACACAATGGCCTTCCGAAGTCATGATGTAGAGACATGGATCGAATCCCGACGCTTGAAAACCAATCGAGCGTATGAACTCTGTTGTAACTTGAGCGCGAGGCGAAGAGAAAACGAAGCGGAGAGACCGGAGAGAACCAAGCAGAGAACACTTGCTCACTTGAGGGAGGATTCGAAAAGTGATTGATTTATAGGTCTTAACTTCTGCCTACCCTAGACTGCATCCAATCACATGGTGCATCTAATCAACCTGATTTACACGCGTCCAATCATCCTACGCGTCTAATCATCTCTGAGGTAATTACCGATGTAAAAACTATCTCGTAAGAACTACGCGCTAGGTTCGGATTGTACCGGTAACCCTCAATACGCCCCCTCAATCCGAACACGCACGGATGCCAAGCGCCGCCGTCAAGTCCTTGTGACGCGGTCCGTGAAGTCCCTTCGTCATGATGTCCGCCAACATCAACGTCGTCTCGCAGTATTCAAGCTTCACTTCGCCGCGCTTGACTTCATCACGGATGTGATGGTACTTGATGTCGATGTGTTTAGCGCGGCCGTGGTTGACCGGATTCTTCGTCATCTTGATGCACGACTGGTTGTCTTCACGGATGACGAGCTCGGGTCCTTCTTCGTTTGCAGCCGCCATGATCTCGCACAGCAAGCGATTGATCCACTTGCCTTCTTGGATCGCCAGGCTGAGCGCGATGTACTCCGCTTCGCTTGTAGACAGTGACACACTTGGCTGTTTCTTGCTGCCCCAACTCACCGGAGCACCCAATAGCATGAAGACGTAGCCGGACGTCGATTTGCGATCAGCAAGGTCACCGGCCCAGTCTGCATCTGAATAGCCACGAAAGTAGATCTTCGCACTTGGCTTGTAGCAGATTCCATGCATCTTGGTGCCTTGTAGGTAGCGGAAGATGCGCTTGACTGCAACCCAGTGTTCTTCTTGGGGGTTTCTCCATGAACCGTGACACAAAGCTTACAGCATAGGCGATGTCCGGTCGCGTTGCAGTCGTCAGATGCATCAAAGCACCCACTGCTTCACGGAATGGGACATCCACCTTGCTTGCAGAGTTTCTTGGAACCAGTCGAGAGCTGACGTCCACCGGACTTGTTACAGCCTCGCACTCATCCATTCCAAAGCGCTTGAGGACATCGTCGACATAACGGCGCTGACACATAGTCACGCTGCCATCTTCACCGTCCAATAACTCGATCCCAAGAACAAAGGCACACTTGCCGCTGTCCGTCATCTCGAAGCGTGTCTTGAGGTCGTTCTTGGTGCGCGCAATCATCTCGAGCGAGCTTCCAGTCACCAAGACATCGTCCACGTAGACCAGCACAAAAACACAATGGCCTTCCGAAGTCATGATGTAGAAACATGGATCGAATCCCGACGCTTGAAAACCAATCGAGCGTATGAACTCTGTTGTAACTTGAGCGCGAGGCGAAGAGAAAACGAAGCGGAGAGACCGGAGAGAACCAAGCAGAGAACACTTGCTCACTTGAGGGAGGATTCGAAAAGTGATTGATTTATAGGTCTTAACTTCTGCCTACCCTAGACTGCATCCAATCACATGGTGCATCTAATCAACCTGATTTACACGCGTCCAATCATCCTACGCGTCTAATCATCTCTGAGGTAATTACCGATGTAAAAACTATCTCGTAAGAACTACGCGCTAGGTTCGGATTGTACCGGTAACCCTCAATACGCCCCCTCAATCCGAACACGCACGGATGCCAAGCGCCGCCGTCAAGTCCTTGTGACGCGGTCCGTGAAGTCCCTTCGTCATGATGTCCGCCAACATCAACGTCGTCTCGCAGTATTCAAGCTTCACTTCGCCGCGCTTGACTTCATCACGGATGTGATGGTACTTGATGTCGATGTGTTTAGCGCGGCCGTGGTTGACCGGATTCTTCGTCATCTTGATGCACGACTGGTTGTCTTCACGGATGACGAGCTCGGGTCCTTCTTCGTTTGCAGCCGCCATGATCTCGCACAGCAAGCGATTGATCCACTTGCCTTCTTGGATCGCCAGGCTGAGCGCGATGTACTCCGCTTCGCTTGTAGACAGTGACACACTTGGCTGTTTCTTGCTGCCCCAACTCACCGGAGCACCCAATAGCATGAAGACGTAGCCGGACGTCGATTTGCGATCAGCAAGGTCACCGGCCCAGTCTGCATCTGAATAGCCACGAAAGTAGATCTTCGCACTTGGCTTGTAGCAGATTCCATGCATCTTGGTGCCTTGTAGGTAGCGGAAGATGCGCTTGACTGCAACCCAGTGTTCTTCTTGGGGTTTCTCCATGAACCGTGACACAAAGCTTACAGCATAGGCGATGTCCGGTCGCGTTGCAGTCGTCAGATGCATCAAAGCACCCACTGCTTCACGGAATGGGACATCCACCTTGCTTGCAGAGTTTCTTGGAACCAGTCGAGAGCTGACGTCCACCGGACTTGTTACAGCCTCGCACTCATCCATTCCAAAGCGCTTGAGGACATCGTCGACATAACGGCGCTGACACATAGTCACGCTGCCATCTTCACCGTCCAATAACTCGATCCTAAGAACAAAGGCACACTTGCCGCTGTCCGTCATCTCGAAGCGTGTCTTGAGGTCGTTCTTGGTGCGCGCAATCATCTCGAGCGAGCTTCCAGTCACCAAGACATCGTCCACGTAGACCAGCACAAAAACACAATGGCCTTCCGAAGTCATGATGTAGAGACATGGATCGAATCCCGACGCTTGAAAACCAATCGAGCGTATGAACTCTGTTGTAACTTGAGCGCGAGGCGAAGAGAAAACGAAGCGGAGAGACCGGAGAGAACCAAGCAGAGAACACTTGCTCACTTGAGGGAGGATTCGAAAAGTGATTGATTTATAGGTCTTAACTTCTGCCTACCCTAGACTGCATCCAATCACATGGTGCATCTAATCAACCTGATTTACACGCGTCCAATCATCCTACGCGTCTAATCATCTCTGAGGTAATTACCGATGTAAAAACTATCTCGTAAGAACTACGCGCTAGGTTCGGATTGTACCGGTAACCCTCAATACGCCCCCTCAATCCGAACACGCACGGATGCCAAGCGCCGCCGTCAAGTCCTTGTGACGCGGTCCGTGAAGTCCCTTCGTCATGATGTCCGCCAACATCAACGTCGTCTCGCAGTATTCAAGCTTCACTTCGCCGCGCTTGACTTCATCACGGATGTGATGGTACTTGATGTCGATGTGTTTAGCGCGGCCGTGGTTGACCGGATTCTTCGTCATCTTGATGCACGACTGGTTGTCTTCACGGATGACGAGCTCGGGTCCTTCTTCGTTTGCAGCCGCCATGATCTCGCACAGCAAGCGATTGATCCACTTGCCTTCTTGGATCGCCAGGCTGAGCGCGATGTACTCCGCTTCGCTTGTAGACAGTGACACACTTGGCTGTTTCTTGCTGCCCCAACTCACCGGAGCACCCAATAGCATGAAGACGTAGCCGGACGTCGATTTGCGATCAGCAAGGTCACCGGCCCAGTCTGCATCTGAATAGCCACGAAAGTAGATCTTCGCACTTGGCTTGTAGCAGATTCCATGCATCTTGGTGCCTTGTAGGTAGCGGAAGATGCGCTTGACTGCAACCCAGTGTTCTTCTTGGGGTTTCTCCATGAACCGTGACACAAAGCTCACAGCATAGGCGATGTCCGGTCGCGTTGCAGTCGTCAGATGCATCAAAGCACCCACTGCTTCACGGAATGGGACATCCACCTTGCTTGCAGAGTTTCTTGGAACCAGTCGAGAGCTGACGTCCACCGGACTTGTTACAGCCTCGCACTCATCCATTCCAAAGCGCTTGAGGACATCGTCGACATAACGGCGCTGACACATAGTCACGCTGCCATCTTCACCGTCCAATAACTCGATCCTAAGAACAAAGGCACACTTGCCGCTGTCCGTCATCTCGAAGCGTGTCTTGAGGTCGTTCTTGGTGCGCGCAATCATCTCGAGCGAGCTTCTAGTCACCAAGACATCGTCCACGTAGACCAGCACAAAAACACAATGGCCTTCCGAAGTCATGATGTAGAGACATGGATCGAATCCCGACGCTTGAAAACCAATCGAGCGTATGAACTCTGTTGTAACTTGAGCGCGAGGCGAAGAGAAAACGAAGCGGAGAGACCGGAGAGAACCAAGCAGAGAACACTTGCTCACTTGAGGGAGGATTCGAAAAGTGATTGATTTATAGGTCTTAACTTCTGCCTACCCTAGACTGCATCCAATCACATGGTGCATCTAATCAACCTGATTTACACGCGTCCAATCATCCTACGCGTCTAATCATCTCTGAGGTAATTACCGATGTAAAAACTATCTCGTAAGAACTACGCGCTAGGTTCGGATTGTACCGGTAACCCTCAATACGCCCCCTCAATCCGAACACGCACGGATGCCAAGCGCCGCCGTCAAGTCCTTGTGACGCGGTCCGTGAAGTCCCTTCGTCATGATGTCCGCCAACATCAACGTCGTCTCGCAGTATTCAAGCTTCACTTCGCCGCGCTTGACTTCATCACGGATGTGATGGTACTTGATGTCGATGTGTTTAGCGCGGCCGTGGTTGACCGGATTCTTCGTCATCTTGATGCACGACTGGTTGTCTTCACGGATGACGAGCTCGGGTCCTTCTTCGTTTGCAGCCGCCATGATCTCGCACAGCAAGCGATTGATCCACTTGCCTTCTTGGATCGCCAGGCTGAGCGCGATGTACTCCGCTTCGCTTGTAGACAGTGACACACTTGGCTGTTTCTTGCTGCCCCAACTCACCGGAGCACCCAATAGCATGAAGACGTAGCCGGACGTCGATTTGCGATCAGCAAGGTCACCGGCCCAGTCTGCATCTGAATAGCCACGAAAGTCGATCTTCGCACTTGGCTTGTAGCAGATTCCATGCATCTTGGTGCCTTGTAGGTAGCGAAAGATGCGCTTGACCGCAACCCAGTGTTCTTCTTGGGGTTTCTCCATGAACCGTGACACAAAGCTTACAGCATAGGCGATGTCCGGTCGCGTTGCAGTCGTCAGATGCATCAAAGCACCCACTGCTTCACGGAATGGGACATCCACCTTGCTTGCAGAGTTGCTTGGAACCAGTCGAGAGCTGACGTCCACCGGACTTGCCACAGCCTTGCACTCCTCCATTCCAAAGCGCTTGAGGACATCGTCGACATAACGGCGCTGACACATAGTCACGCTGCCATCTTCACCGTCCAATAACTCGATCCCAAGAACAAAGGCACACTTGCCGCTGTCCGTCATCTCGAAGCGTGTCTTGAGGTCGTTCTTGGTGCGCGCAATCATCTCGAGCGAGCTTCCAGTCACCAAGACATCGTCCACGTAGACCAGCACAAAAACACAATGGCCTTCCGAAGTCATGATGTAGAGACATGGATCGAATCCCGACGCTTGAAAACCAATCGAGCGTATGAACTCGTCGAAGGTCTCGTTCCAAAAACGAGGCTTGCTTGAGAGACCGTAGATCGCCTTGATCAGCTCGAGACAGTCGAAATCACCTTCCATCTTGACGCCTTCCGGAACAGCGCAGAACACCTTCTCCTTCATCACTCCAACAGGAACGCAGTCACCACATCGAGCTGGTCGAGGGGCCATCCAAAGTGCTTGGTAATGGCGATGACCATTCGCAGCGTCACATACTTGACCACGGGCGGAGAACGTCTCCGTGTAGTCGATGCCATACTTTTGGCGAAAACCCTTGGCCACAAGTCGTGCCTTGTATTTCTCGATCGACCCATCCGCCTTGCGCTTGATCTTGAAGACCCACTTTGTGCCAATGGCGCTTTGTCCGTTGGGTAACTTGGCCGCACGAAAGACACCGCGAAGCTTCATCGAATCGAGCTCCGCATCAATTGCCTTGCGCCAGTGTACTTGGTCCGGGCCAGACACTGCTTCTTCAAATGTCGATGGCTCCGAAAAATCGACCGCTGCTTCGACGGCGTTTGCACTCGCATGCCAAAACGCGGAGGAAGTCCGTGTGTCATGTTGTTCCTCCGACTTCCTTTCTTCATCTTCGTTGGCTCGACGTGAAGAGAGGTCATCCGGCGCACTTGACTCTTCCAATCCGGGTCGTTGGCGCACTGCTCGGGGCATGCTTGCGTCGTCATTGTCGTGACTGGGTTGGGCCTTGCGCTTTCCTGTTTGTTTGAAGTGTCTCGGACGCGGTTCTTCATCATCAAGATCGATCGATTCGAAGTCCAGGCCATCAACATCGTCATCGGAAATCAGCATCGACATTCCAAAGGCCGACTCATCGAAGTTGACATCGCGACTTATCATCACCTGCCCCGCTTCGATGTCGTAAACTCGATACGCCTTGGACACTTCTTCGTAGCCCAAAAACAATCCATCCCGGGCCTTGGGATCCCACTTGAGTCGTTTCTCCTTCGGGGTCAAGATGTATGCTTGGCACCCAAAAACGCGCATGTGCTTGACACTTGGCTTATAATTGTAGACAATCTCGAACGGTGTCTTGTGTGGAATCTTGGGTGACGGCAAACGGTTCTTCACATAGACGGCCGTCATTGCCACTTCAGCCCAGAAGTACTTGTCCAACTTGGCATGATGGAGCATGCTACGACCGATGGTGACGATAGTTCGAATCGCGCGTTCAGCAGTTCCATTGGCTTGATGTGCGTATGGCACCGTGGTTTGTTGCTCGATGCCTTCGACTTCGTAGAAATCTTGAAGCGAGTTCGTCGCAAACTCGCGGGCTCCATCGTGTCGCACAAATTTGACCTTCTTGTTGAACTGCGTCTGTATCATCGTGATGTACTTCTTGATGCACTCTTCGCTCCCTGACTTGGAATGCAGACAAAAACCCTTCATGCATCCGCTGGCTTCATCCACGATCAGCAGCAGATACTTGCTGCCACCCAGAGATTTTTCTTCCATGGGTCCGCAGATGTCGAAGTGGAGCATCTCGAAGGTGTTGTAGGTGCGCTTGTCACGGTTGCTCGGGAATGGTTTTTGGACCATCTTCCCTTCTTGGCATCCTCGACACACACTTGATCCATTCGGCTTGGAAGGGATGTGAGCGTCCTTGATCATGTGGCTTGTCACCATCTTGCGAAGCACGTCGACTGGAGCATGGCCCATTCGCGCATGTAGATCAACAGCGTTGTTGAGTGATGTCGCATTGGCCGATCGCTGCGTCGTGCGAAGCCAGTAGAGTCCGTCTACAAGATCCGCAGCTGCCACCACTTGATTGGAATCCTTGCGAGCGACGTACATCGTATCCCCGTCAAACACCACTTGGAAGTTGCCGTGCTTGTTAATCTGCGGCACCGAGAGCAGATTTTTGCTCATGCTGGGCACATAGAGCGCGTTCTTGATCTCGATCTCGCGCTCTTCCCCGTTTGGCAGAATCACCTTTTCCACGATGGTCCCCACACCTTTGATGGCCGCCTTGTTGCCATCAGCCACCAGGATCTCGCCATCATTGCCTTCGACCAAGCTTGCAAACTTGAACTTGTCGTGGCAGATGTGATGTGTTGCCCCGCTGTCAACGGCCCACATTCCTGGTCCATTCTTGTTCGTCGAAACTCCGCATTCGAACGAAACTGCAAACGCCACTCGATCGTAGCTGTTGCCTTCATCATAATATCGCCACTGGACATTGTTTGCCCCCGCGTCCACGACCATTGCCGCCGCGTTGGGCTCCTCGACTTTCATCCTTTTGCTTCGTCCAACAACGCTCTGCCGTGTGCCCCCACCTTGCCGCAGTATGTGCATTGGTAGGGCTTGCGCTCGGTACTGAATGCCTTTGTCGCATCTTCAGTCTTCACCGTTGTCGTTGCCGTTGTCATCTTCTCGCCTTGTCTCTTGATGTGCTCGTTAGTCAGCACCTTGACCACATCTTGCGTGCGCAGCTCTGCATTGCTCATCTCCAAGTTCAGAACCACGTTCTCGAAACTCTTCGGGAGACTGAGCAGCAAGCAGATCGCAATGTCTTCGTCTTCCATCTTGGCACCGATGCTGCTGAGCTTGGCGCCGATGTTCAAGACTTCGTTGCAATGGTGCAAGACGTTGGCACCTTCCGCCATCTTGATGCTGAACAGCTGGCGCTTGAGGTAGATGCGTCCCGCCTTCTGCGACCCACCATAGAGCATCTTCAACCGCGACCACGCTGTCCATGCTTCTTCACAGTTGTCGACCACATGGTGGTAGTCGGCGTCCATGTGGAGCAACATCAACCCGAACGCGATGTTGCTCGCCTTGACGTACTCGTCGGAAGCTCGCGTGTCGGTGAAGGTTGGAGACGTTTCGCGGTTCACGACGTACCAGACTGACTTCGTCAGAAACACGCCGCGCATGTAGCGACACCAGGTTGAGTAGTTGTCCCCATCGAACTTATCGATGGAGACACTGGCCGAGGTGTTGTTGGACGACATGGCGCTTGGGCTCATAACCTGTTGTAACTTGAGCGCGAGGCGAAGAGAAAACGAAGCGGAGAGACCGGAGAGAACCAAGCAGAGAACACTTGCTCACTTGAGGGAGGATTCGAAAGTGATTGATTTATAGGTCTTAACTTCTGCCTACCCTAGACTGCATCCAATCACATGGTGCATCTAATCAACCTGATTTACACGCGTCCAATCATCCTACGCGTCTAATCATCTCTGAGGTAATTACCGATGTAAAAACTATCTCGTAAGAACTACGCGCTAGGTTCGGATTGTACCCGTAACCCTCAATAAACTCGTCGAAGGTCTCGTTCCAAACACGCGAGGCTTGCTTGAGACCGTAAATCGCCTTGATCAGCTCGAGACAGTCGAAATCACCTTCCATCTTGACGCCTTCCGGAACAGCGCAGAACACCTTCTCCTTCATCACTCCATACAGGAACGCAGTCACCACATCGAGCTGGTCGAGGGGCCATCCAAAGTGCTTGGTAATGGCGATGACCATTCGCAGCGTCACATACTTGACCACGGGCGAGAACGTCTCCGTGTAGTCGATGCCATACTTTTGGCGAAAACCCTTGGCCACAAGTCGTGCCTTGTATTTCT